ACCATGATCTTTTCACTTTTGTAAATTATATCATAATATTTAGTTTGATGCAAACAGTCTGAAAATAGTCACAGAAAAGCTGATTTGGTCGAACAACAAACTGAAGATTGGTATATAGTTTACACGGGATATACAAATCGATGCACCAATTTGTAACAAATTGAAGATTGTGGTATAATTTGCAAAAGTGAAAAGTCGTGGTTAAATTGCAACTTCGAAAAACGTCATGATACTAAGGGCAATTTTGCCTTAAAAAATTATGTTGGATAATCTTTATTTTGTGCAGAAAGTCAATTAGTATAATTGCAAAATAAGTAAATTTTTTTTCTAAAACTTTTATTAAATCATAAATATTAGAAGTGATTCTAAATTTTATTTACATTAATGATAATTAGAAATTATGTTATTTAAAATTAAATATTATATAAATTAAAAGATAGTTAAAAAATATTATTTTAATTAAATAAAGCAAACCAACCAAATGACATGACCCAATTTATTAAAAAAAAAAAATGTGTATATGTTTACTATAGTAGTATAGTACTCATCCATCTACAACTCTTAAAAATTAGTATAAAATGTGATAAATTTTATATATCCTTCCAAACTATGATGTAATCTATATATATATAATTGCTAGCTAATCCCATTTAATAAAACATTTAATAAAAATATTTTCACTTTCCCTCTAAAAGAAGTTACATTTTTTTTAATTAATTACTCATTAATCTCACATTTAAGAAGGTTTTTTATAGTTAAATTTAATTAGTTAATGACTAAATTAAAAATATTTATTTTATTTAATCCCACATTTATGTTAAGTACAGTATTATCTTAATATCTTATCAGTTTTTCAAAAAAATAGTAACTTTTTTCAATAAATTTTATAAAAATTAGTCAAATGTGCTTATATTCATATAAATCAGAAAAAAAATTAAATCTTAGATATATAAAAAGAACATCGTTGAAATAACTTGAATCCGCAAGGGCAATTTTATACTCATTATCAATTACTTTAAATTTTTTGTTTATATAAAAAATTAATATTATATTTACTCATTTATATTTAGATGGTATTTTTTTTATTAAGAAGCAAGGACAATCTCTATCAATCAATAAGAGTCGAGGACAAACAATATAAAGAAGTGTTTCCTATGCTATGACATGATCAATAAGAGTCAAAGACAGTCTCTGTCGCACGTCGGCTTACTACTGAAGAGCTCTGCATTTAGTCATGAGCAATTATACGTGGCGCTTTTTAGAGTTACGAGTCAGTGGGGTTTGAAGATTTTGATTTGAGCTGATGGAGATTTTGACGATAGAAAAACCACGACGTTGTTTTATAAAGAAGTGTTTAAGAATATTTATATTTTTTTTCTTTATTTTTTTCAATGAATTTGTTATGATTTTTACTATTTTTCATAATTTTTATTATTTTTTTATGTATCATATAGTTTTCCGTTCAAATGCACGGAACAAAAACTAGTATGAATAAAAAGCTCAATAAAGTCTGAGTTTTTTAGTATTGTCTCTTGTTTTAGAAAGAGTATTTAATAATTTTTGCATACTAGTGATAGTCGTAATTATTTCGTGTTTTTTTTTATTGATTTTAATTTATTCGTAATTATTTAGAATGATGGTCGTTTTTCCTTTCTGTTTATTTCGTACTTTCTTTCCAAGTGTAATTTTTCAATCTATATATATATAACAAGAATTAACATTTATCAAAAATAGTAAGTCAATCCTTGGTCAAAACTTATCAACATTAATTACATGTCATTTATAGTATCTTTTTAATATATTTTTTTACTAAAAAATAGACAACATTAAATATTGTCCTGAAAATGAGGAGTTTGTTACTTTTTTATTTTCAAAAAAGTGGGCTGCTATTTAAATTTGGTCTATTGAATATTTGTGATGGTTTGACACGATGTGCATATCAAAAACTGATAATGCACGTGTTGCATCAATTAAATTTGGTTATTGGTTACTATAAGCTATTTTTAAGTTTGAACAGAAATATACGCCACGATTGCTAATTCAATTAAATATCGGTCAGTTATATTCTTTAAATTTAAAACTAGATATTCGGCTAATACAATTGCTTTGCTTGGCGATTTTTTTTAATAAAAAAATTATGACTGATTTAATAATAATAAAAATTATGTGTTATTTTTTCTAACCATACAAATATGCTTTTGTCTTTTCAAATATCAAAAACTTTTTATTTTCTATAAAATCGGCTAATACATATGTTTTGATTAGCAAATTTTATTTAAACAAAATTACGGCTAATTTAAGGGTAAGAATATAAAAAAAAAAAAAACATTTGAAAATCATTTGTTTATTTCTTTTGAAAATATTTTTTCTAACCATCAAATCGGGCAGTTTCAATTAAAAGAATAAAGTTGCGGCTAATTCAGTTGTTTTGTTTGACAATTATTTATAACGAAAAATACTACACGGGTCTATTTTGAAACGATCAAAATTTTTATGGTCTTTGTTTAAATCAGAGATTTGAAATAGCAATAATCTCCATATTTAATTTTTTTTAACTTTAAAACGTGATGTATACAAGATTTAGATAGATTTATCACATATCATCCTCTAAATTAATGTTTTTTTTTTAATTTCAAAATACAAAATCAAATTTTTTATGGTGTTTGTTTAAATCAGAGATTCAAAATATCTTAATCTCCATATTTAAATTGCTTTAATTGTAAAACGTGATGCATACAAGATCTAGATAGATTTATCACATATCTACCCTAAATTAATGATTTTACTTTTTTCTAAGTTTCAAAATACTAAATCCTAAAGTTGCGGCTGATTTAATTATTAAACGATATTTTGCAATCATAGATTCGGGTTATCTTCAAATTCGAAATTTAAATTGTCGATATGTAGACAAATTTGAACAGATTAAATAAATATGATCCCTAAAATGAAGAAATTTATTCCATTAAAAAACATAAAATATGAACTTAAGATGTAGATTTTATTATGCATATGTGATAATACAATTTTACATGCTATGAAAGTCATATTGTTTATCCGTGTATCGCACGGGTTACGCACTAGTATTCAATGAAACGTAATGCAAAGATATGCTCAATCAATCAGTATTATCACATTAATCATTCCTACTTTTTTTTTTTCCATTTCACATATAATTGATATATATAATCAAATAATATCATATTGATTTCTTCCTGTCCTGTTTGATATGAAAAAAATCCGTGGAATATGGTAACATCATTTACTAAGCAATAACACCGTTCAAACAAATAAATAGATTTTATTGGATTTTAGACGTACAAATCTAGTCTCAGCAAAATTTAAATTTTTTTTTACAAATAACGAAGATCCAACTATACCTATTCGATATGACCTTAGGTCGCGTGAATTAAAATGAAAAATTTACAGTTGTTCGTATGTTTGCCCTCGACAATGGTATCTACGCAATCCAGTCCAACGTCAATGAATCCCTTCCGGTGAAAAAGCTAGGAATCCTCAATAAAATAGCAAGAGAGTGTATCTCTCAATCTCTAAAATTTTGTGATCTCTCAAAATGTTTCTTTCTTCCATCGATCAAAGACTATGAAGAGATAATGAGGTACTTATAATTAGGTCAAACATAAATATATTGGCCGTATTAGATCCTATGGCCCAATAGGTAATTAGACCTAATTTAATTAATAATTTAATTAAGTACAAATCTAATTTAACTTAATTAAATATTTTCTATCAAATGGAAAATAATTTCATTACTCATAAATAAATGTTCCAATCTAATTGAATTTTTAACACTCTCGATCCACTCTTAATCGGAAAACTGATTGCATATTGTGTGACCCTATAAACCTTCATACATTAACATAAATCTAATGTACGATCCTTATGAAACTTCTAGACTGCTTCGAATGACAAACTCAATATATGGAGTGTTTTAACATGGACAAAGTAAACAAACCTTTAGTGTAAAAGTTAATGGTGATACGGTTCATTCATTTACGAACCACTCAATATAGTGTGAGTCGATTGTTTAATCGGGGGGAAAGGGAAAGCAACTCGATAGGAAGAGCAATTAGCATTTAAATGAATGAAGTTAAAGGTTTCTCATTCTACTTTTAGATCAAGTTACTTTCACTCGACCTAGGGGGTGGACAAATGATATGGGATACTATGGCCTTTAGGTCGTGTAGGACCTAACAGTAACTTGAGCGGTCCAACTGGTAGGTCGACCATAGGTTGGACAAAAGAAGACTCGAGGTCACTAGAGTACCAGTTTGGTGATGACCTCCGAGGTAGAGCAGTTCATCAATAGGTCGAGCTAGGGCTCGGTTAGCTTTATGGAGACTCAACCAGGAAGTGAAGAGGTCACGGAGGACCTAAAAAGCAGACGTACTCATTAAAGAGGAATCGAGTTGAGAGCACAATTACGTTAAAGAAACTACCTAATGGGGTAAGCTAATGTGACCACACCAAATAGTGGATAAGTGCAAATATAATTAGGATAAGAAGGTCACGTTGATGGGGGCATGTGACTAACAGAATTGGACAGCTTGGGCACCCGAGCAGTGTGATTCGGTAGTTCGGACACTCGGACAGCTAGATTGCGCAAATCTTGGGCAATAAGATAATGCCTCTATATATATAGTGGTGATGTAAGATCATTATCACTCTACACACTCTGAATATTCTAGACTTACATACACTATATACATAATATTCCTCAAATACTGACTTGAACGTCGGAACTTCTACACCGGGACAACCTCCGATGTTGTTTTGTAGGTAATTCCAACAGTTCAAGTACGGTTCGAAGAATGTTGAACCGGATTGAGGTCGTTTACAATACCAATATGCATTGTCTAACTTGAATTGGTCTAAAGTTGTTTCCCCTCTAATTTATACAATTTAAAATAGTTGTCTCGTTCATCGTTCATCGCACGGTTCATATACTAGTATTTCACTAAATGATCTAATATAACAGCAGTCGAAAAACGGTGTTCACATATTTATAGCATCTAACAATCAATTTGCCTAAAGATAAAAGAAACAGAGAACCAAACTCAGAACAAGTGGAAAAAACTGACAAAAATAGACGAAGTTCACATATTTACAGCATCTAGACACACCCCTTAACAATCAATTTGCCTAAAGAAAAAAGAAACAGATTACCAAAACTCAGAACAAGAAGTGGAAACAAATGACAAAAACGCAGCTATAAGCCCTCTTTCACCTCTCGTTTTCATGGCTGCCACACGATCACGTTGATGATGATGATGATCGATCCAAATGCACAGCTGTCTTATGGCCTCCTTTTTCTCTTCACCCATGCTCAAAATCCTCTCATCTTTCTCTTTCATCTGCCTTTCCATCTCCCCCATCTTTTCTTCCTGTTCTTTCAAAACTCGAGTCAAATTTTTCCTTTCCTCTCCATAAAACCCCAACTTCGTCTCAATTCCCTCCTTTTCCTTCAGTTGCCCAACCAGATCACAAATTTCTTCCTTCATCCTATCCTTCTCGATATTATTCTCATCTATCCATTTCAGCACAACACTCAGCTTGTTTGTGATATCATAAACACGGGACTCAAAATGCTTGCAGTCCTCCTGAAACTTCACGCCCAAGTTATCCATCCCCATTAAAGTTTCATTTACCTTATCAGATATTTCGGTCGCGGTTTTCGCCTGAGCTTCTTCGTATACAGAAACTGAAGCGGACAAAGCAGAAATCCTTTTCTCGAGCAACTTCTGATCTTCTAGAAACTTCTCCTCTTTCTCATTCAGTAACTGTTCCGTGACAAGAAGCTTCCGGTTGGTCAAACGTTGACTGATTTCGATGGCTCTCAAGTTGTCTGCCAACCTGCTGATCTCGTCGTCTTTCATTTCCAGCTCTGTCTTAACCTCTTCAATATTTTCTTCCAGACGATTGATTTCCCGATTCTTCGCTTCAGTTACTTTCATGTGCAGTGCGCGCAATTTGACGAGTTCAAGATTGAGGCTAACATTTTCCATCAGAAGTTTCGAGTTCTCTTTTCCCCTTTTCTTGGGTTCAGGGCTTTTTGCAGGTAAATTTATCGGTGCTTCATCTGAGTCTGAGGACCCTGAGGTGGATGAAGAACCGCAATTCCCTTTCTTGCCCTCGGCCTTTTGTCTTAGTTTCTCGATTAGATGGTCGTAACGCGAGTAAAGAGACTGGTAATCGCTGTTTAAAGTCCCGATCAAGCCTGTAATGGCCTCTTTCGTACAAGTACCTTCCTCTTTGATAGATCTCAACATGCTTTGAAGTCTTACATCCATCTCTGCAGTTAACAATGCACTTTCAGGATAGGAAAAAAATCTGAAGGGGCTCAAATGGGAAAGGTAAAGCAAAAACTGGTTTGAAAGACTGCGCAAATGATGAATGAAAATGAAGCTATTGGGACAAGTTATTTACCTGCATTGATTCCTTCAAGCTCCTTGATTTCAGGATCAAAGTAATGTCTAGACATATCGTGAGGGATGTTTCAGCAAAATTCACTAGGCTGTGAATTGTATGAAGGCCGATTTCATCTGAAGAGTGAAATTCATCTCTGTTATTATAGTAAATATTTAATGCATGAATGTCATTTTGCTTTGGTCTAGCTGATTCGTTTCAAACACTTGCCATCACACATCAAAGCAGATAGAATATTTACTCAACAAAGCATATCAATGTATTTGAGAAGGGACATGGAAATAAAAAACAAGTATATATTGCATCACAAAAAAAAAAGAAAAAAAAAACACTAAATATGAGTTCAACAAATTAAGATCACTATAGTAGACAACACACGCCCCTTTCTATTCACATATTAATGCCATAAAGGAGTAATTTAACCTCAAAAGGAAGTTTGAGCTCTACAAAGCTCAGTAATGATATTTCTGTGTGACGATAAGAAATCAATTTGCACGAGAATCGAGAATAAGTTCACAAGCCGGGAAGATATACACACATTTGACGGGGATGAATCATAATTCATTGAATTTGGTGACACAGGTTTAACAAGGAATTATCATTTCTCCAAATTTTCGATCAAATATATCATATATAAGGGCTTTTATCAAAAATCACAAGGCATGAAAACAAACCGATAAAGTTCGACTCTTTTCTCAGAGCCAAGCTCGCGTGTATGAGTATGAACCAAAATAAGGGAAACAAAAAACAGAAATTAGAGCAAAAAGGGAAAAAAAAAAGAGAGAGATAAATATAGGAGCACAAACATAGATATGTATCGATTCTATCTGGTATAGTGTTTGTAGAGAGCGAGCAGCACAGCACGTAGCAAGTGCCGTAGAAGATGACTAATTTTATCCGCATTTAAAGTGTAATTTTTATTGTGTTGGAGAAATCATCAGTGTTCTATAATTTAGTGATGGAGATATTTACGTCAATTTAGACTCGGAGTATTGTTACTTAGATTTGGGAGATAAGTCCAATGGACACCCAACAGATAACTACAAAATAGAGAAACGGATTACTACTAAAAATCAGGAGAATAGTAAACAAGTAATTTATTCTGTGCATTTGTGATACAAATAAAATTTTATAATTTTATAGATTATATGAGTATATGTAATATTTTAGATTACAATTTAAATAATTAACATATCACATTAATGACATGATATAAATTATTTAACTTATATATGAATCTCTATATTAATTGAAATAATATGATTTTTGCAATCTTGATTGATTATGCTCAATTAATTAGATAAATCAATACTGATATTATTATTATAGCAATTATGTATCGAAGACTTTGATAGAATTTTGGGAAATAAAAACAATGCTGCAGAGATGAATCTCAAGTAAAGGGGAAGCAGGGTGAGAGATTAAGAAAGGGGAAGAAGAGAAAATTAAATTAATTTATTTATATTAATGTTTATCACACAGTGATTGTCACATACAAAAATGCAGTGACACTACTGTTATGCAAGCACGGTTAGACAGTCATATTTTTTGAACCAGCGCATATACTTTTAAAAAAATATTTTTTGTTAAAAAAATAAGAAGCCGGACAACTATGCCGCCTCACATCGAAATTTATTTTTAAAATAAGTAATGTTGAATGGTTATGACAATCAAAACACTCAATGTAGTTTCAACTTACTACAATTTTTTTCCAAAACGTTTTATGTTGTTAATTATGACAATCAAAACACTCAATGTGGTGAATTTATGTTGAAAATATATCTTGTTCTTTATTTTGCAAGAACAAGCAAACGTTTTTCCAAAACCTTTTCATCTTCCCCAAACAAGTCAGGTTCACTGCCGATCCCTCGGTTCTCTTTTATTTTAAAAAAATAAACACACAAACCCTTGTATAATATGCTACTAGGGAAGAACCCGGCGAGGCCCACGATTAAATTCAGTTAGTTAATTTGATATTTAAACAAATAAATGAATATAAAGTTGAATGCTAAAACATGAACATGTGTTCATAAAATAACTGATGGCATGCACAAAATATAAATCTTACCCTTGTACATAAAAGATAGTCGTCTTTAGAACCCAAACATTCATTCCCAACAAGACATTTTAATCATAGATAACAAAGGCAAAGCATGGCTACATAACATTTCTAGCATGACAGTTATATATACTCCAAACTCACTGTCACACATAACATTTTTAGCATGACATTTTGACTATATACATCAAAAGTAGTCAAAAGAAGTTCCAGTCTGCACAGTAATTAGAAGCACATTCAAGGAGAGTCGTTCCTATTACATTAGTATTTATCAAGCCTGTGTATACAAAAGAGCGTTTTGTTCCAGGTTTCGAGGTTTCTAATTTCTCCTAATTTTTTCCCTGCCTCCATAGGGCTGAAAATTGCTTGTCTGCTATTGTTTTATCTGAGTAGCTAAAGTTGGCACTGCTGCTCTGAGATGAACAAGTGCCTCATGAGGTTATGTCTGAACTCGTTTTTCCTTATTCAATGGGACCGGTGAAAGGGCTTAATTTTTGCTGGTAGATTTCTTCGATCGTGTAAAGTCAGTGTGCTCTACTACTGGATCCCTTGAAATGGCAAACAAAACAAATGACTTCTTTTTCTTGGATTGCAGCTGCCACTTGAGCATAAATTCGTATGCTTTGCCCCTATGAATTGTATTAGGAGGAAAAATTATAAGGTAAATTAAATAGATGAACTAAGAAATGTAATGAGAACAAAGAGTTTGAAGAGTTATATATGAAACCAAGCAGATTCACTAAAGAATTTAAACAAATAAACCAAACAGAAAACACAGGAAATCAGTATTCATAGATGCAATATTGAAGAAAAACAAATAAAGCATACACGAATAGTTGCAGCAAACTATTGTACTGATTTGTTTCCCTTAGTAAAACAAGTCTGTTCATATTTCTATTATATTCTAATGCATTAGAAATCAAGCCTGTTCACTTGTTATCGTGATTTCATTCATTGTTCCTCTTTACAGTTAGAACAAATGAATCTAGAGGAAGTTAATGAAATATTTTACAAGTTGGGTTCATAATGGGCCATGGTTGAGCCCGTCTTTGATTTGATGAGAGTGTCTCAAGGCCAACCTAACTCGCTTGGAACCCACCATATCACCAACTCAGACCCGAAAATGTAAAGAGAATAAAAAGGAAAGTTCCTTTAATGATGTCATTACAAGAAAGTTATCATGTATATGCACTTTAAAAGTTAAACTAAAATCAATTCACCAAGGCCAAATGTATGGCCAACAGTAACTCTACCAACTATCATTAACAATACCCATGAGAGAGAAAAAAAAACTAATGACATTATTAATTACTCGACTCCCTTATCAAAGAACACACATTACTATGCTCATTACTCAAGTCCTATGCAAAGTCTCATTCCAGAACCTTAGTCAACTACAGTTACAACCATCTTTCAAAGTTAAGTGTTACTCCCTCCATTTTGAAATATAAGGTATTTAAGGTTATTGCACAAATATTAAGGAGACATTAATTAATGAATAAATTGACTAAATTAACCTTATTTACTCTAATCACAACCACTCCACACTTCCTTAATTTCAACACAATGAGGGTATATTTGGAAAAAAATGCAAAAATTTGTCTTGATTTTTGAGCGCGCCTTATATTTCAAAAAAAATGAGAAATCTTTATACGCCTTATATTTCAAAATGGAGGGAGTATTATTAATTCAAAACTTATCAAAAGCCAAAACCCTAAACACAAGACCCAGTTTTCGGCCCGAAATACTTCACCTCCAACTTAAGACATTTCATACCAGAACCTTAGCCAAACGGTTACAACTGCCTTCAATAAGTGTTATTATAAGTTCACAACTTATTAAAAACCACAACCGTAAACACACGACCCAGTTTTCGGTCCGAGATACTTCAACTCCGACTTACGACAATTTAATCTTTCCCCAAACTGGGATATCCTTTTTCTCAATAACTACCCCAACACATACATCAGTGTAAACCATATTCCGAGTTCCGAGTGTATAAAATCACTGTCCAATTCATGAAGCATGCAAAGAGAACAACATTCTTAAACTAACCCCTGGCAGCGTTCTCTTATTATGAAAAGCATCAACCACCTTGTAAGCTTCCTCTCTGGATGGACATATGACAAAGCATCACCCTACCACACAAATCACCATAATTATACACTCCATGAATTACAAATCGAAAAATCAAACAAAACCCACTGCACAACACACGTTACTATCCATGATTAAAAAAAGAAAAAAAAATGANCAAAAAAAAAACCCAATAAGAAAGATACACAAACACACATAACCTCAACAGACTGCCACAGAAAATTGACAAAAGTAGACGCTCCATGAAACAAGGATACATTAAACAGGATAGTTGTTTGTAAATGTAAAAAAATAGAAGGTAATGTTGTTTAACCATAATTCAACACTATAATGTGTAAAAAAAGGTAATATGGGAAAATATGGGTAATGTTTAAATAGCTTATCAACTGTCAAACAAACAAATATAAATAAAAGTTACACATACTGTTTTTGCTCTTATATGATTGATTAGTCGAGATAAGTGTTTGCATTTAATCATCTAATATTACAATTGTGCACGGTTAATTCCCCACATTTATGCATCTTTCGACTTATTTGATATTATGATCAACTCTCGTGCTTTGATGAGTTTTTGAGTGATTTTCAGTATTTTTGGAGCTGTTTCTGTTGAACGATGAGGTGTGGATGCTCGGGAGAAGGACAAAGAAGTTTTACCAGCGAGTATGGGGGTGTCTCGTACTGAACCAGCAGGCCCCGTACTCCTGTAGCAGGCCCAAGAAATTCACGATTAGAAGGCCTGGAGAAATTAATATAATTGGGCCTACATATTTTGTGTTTGAAGGAAGTGGGCTGCGTGGGAATGCTGACAGGAATAGGAAAAGGCCCACTAACTATTGGATTGCTTTAATAATTGACTTGGAGGGCATAAAGAGGAAAAAAGGACGTGGCTAGGGAGATATATATTGATAGAATTTCTACTTGAAAGGGTCATTATTTTCCACGAGAATTGGCGGCTGGGACTTGGAACAGAGGAGAAACGCAGCGATAGAGCATCTCGCCCAGAACAGAGAAGATTTTATTCTCTTTTATTTTATTTTCTTTTTCTTTTATTGTGTAATTAATTCTTTGAACATGTTATTGAATAATATGAGTGAGTAGTCTTTTATTCTAGTTCCGGGGAAGTCGAACCCTACAATTGACTATGTTTTGATTAATTTATATGGTTGATGAATTCAATATCTTTTTGGAATTACTTGTGTTATTTTGAATAATTCACCATGATGTGTTAGTCTTGTTTAGATTGATCACCTAGATTAGGCTTTTCAAATCTACATCTGAATTAGGCCTGCAATCCGTAATTGTTGTCGTGTTTAATTCATAAGAGGTAACCGGAAGATGGTAACTACCGGGGATAACACGGCCTAATTAAGTGAACGAACGTGGTTGAGTTCACTAATTAGTCTAGCCTATTTTTCTAATTCGTAAAGCGGCTAATTGTATTAAATCTTGAAAACGTTTTTCCGGACTGTACAAGAAGTCAGGTTTAATCGTCGAGCGTCTCGCGGTTAAATTAAAAATAAGAAAAAATTCGGGTAACAGACCGTGTCGTTACCTAGGGCTAGTAATTTCATGAGATAGAGAGATTTGATTCCAAAATTGATTAGACGAGTCAGTCGAGGGTGTAGACGGAACCGTGAACTAGAAGCTTTCTCTTATTTTATTTATTGTTATTTTTATTTTATTTGTTTAGATCTTATTTATTTTAGTTAGTTTAGCTATTAAATCACAATCCCCCCTCTTTTATTGCTTTCATAATTTCAATTAATACGAGAAAA